TAAAGTTAGTGTTTCTGTCTTCATCAGCGTCCTTTGAAGAGAGTTAGTGAGCGTTGTGCATGGGTAATGAGTCAGACTCAGCCCCGGTGGAGCTGCGTGCTCACATGCATCGGTAATGAGACCCGTGTTAGTGATGCTCGGTGGCAAAAACATGATTACGTGCCTCTCCGATCGCTCTATATCAGCTTGCTGCATGAGCAATTGCTTTTATTTTGCTGCATATTATTTTTGACAACTTGGATCGATCTCAGGATTAATCTTCTTTGTTTTTTTTCTTGCAAAATCTTAACTGAAGCACAATCTTGACAGCAGAAGGAGCATTTGATCCCCAACTCTGAAAGGTCACCCTTTACAGTTATTGAACATTTGTTTTATCCATTTGGACCAAACAATACGCAGCAGACATGGGTAAGCATGGCTACATTGATTAGCATTACGCTTTTATTGTGTTATTGAGATTCAGGCAATGGAAAAAAGCTGCATATTTTTATTCGGAAAACTGTTTGTCATCAAAAGAACAAGTCTAGAAAATAAGAACATAATGATTCACTATCACCTTTTGAAATTACAGCTTGATATTTATGGATCTCTTAATGTAAACAGCAGCTTGAATTATACAATCTTATTGGACCTTAATTTCACAATATTTCAGCTAATAATAGAGTTGCTTTTCGACAATGTGACATACCCGTAGAGGACTGAGCTGCATACAGTATGTTCTTTTCCTCTTAGAGATCTGTCTATTTTTGATTCTGTCGCTGCATAATTAACACTTTGTTTAACAGGTCCTTTTTAAGTTGAGAGAAAATAAAACCTATGAATATGCATCTAGTCTATTATGAGCTGCTGGGCTCTAAATATAGAAGCGCATTAAATATTCATGTTCCACCTGCAGGCGGTGTTTTAGCTGGTGAATGATAACGCTCCCCTCATCATGGACTTCCTCACTTTTATCAAACATCTATAAAATATTCAGCGGCCCAGGACGGCCTCTCCAGTTATGCCGTCTGATAACGGATGGATGGATGGCTGGATGGATGGATAGATAGATAGATGTTTTAAAAATAGATTTCATTTTATTTTTGGAAAATATTTTATTATTAAAATATACTTATAATTATTATTTTTTTTCCCCCTTTTGATTTTGGGGTGAGACATGACCTGGACATATTCTTGACAGGCTTCATGAGATTCACCCAGAAAGGTCCCCTGCCATTTGACACCAATGACAGCTCACTCAGCACTTTATCAATTTTTCACCGCACACATCTTTTCGTTTGTCTATCGCTGACTGACCAAACATTCATCACAATAACTCTCACATCCATCTGCGGTACGTCTCAGAGCCGTTCGGAGTGAAATTTCTCACTGTGATCTTATCAAAAACCACTTGAAAGATGTGACTTTTCACTTGATTGGGCAGCTCATTCACAACTTTTCAAATTTCATAACAATTATTGGTTTTGAATATATTGTAGGCTCTTTTGTTTGGGTATTACAGGAAAAATTATGTCATCATTATTTATTGTGAGGCTCACTTTCTTCTGAAGAGATGCTCTTTCCATAGAATCAAAGTGAATGAATGCTGACCAGGGGCTGTAGTTCAGTAGTTCATACAGTGCAATTTGTTATATTTGTGTTATATAACCAGCTTTATGTATGTAAGGAACAGACCTTCACTTTGTTTTGGAATATTGTAGAATAATTTGAATTTCCCAGTTCATTTCTTCTGTGAGATGCATCATTTCTGGGAGCTGTTGTGGCATTATGTATTCAGGCTAGATGGATGAAAGCCTGTATGTGCGGGTGAAACTCAGAGCATGTTTAATTACCACCAGCAAACTGGATGGCAGCTTTGATGCCAACCACCTGCTAAGTGCATTTCTGCTGGGCAGATAACAAGGTCAGCCTGCCGTGCCCTCAGTGTTGGTGGGACTTCAAGAGATGTTCAGGAGTGTTGAAAGCAGAAGATTTGAGAGGTTGTAAAGAACTGAGTACAGTAATAATAGTGTTGCTAGATGCAAAAATCACTACTGATTGTTTCCAAACAGGTTTCTAAACACCTACTGCCATTTCCACCCCGCTCCACATCTGCAGGAATGTTGTATTTTTGTAGGCCAATGCAGAAGTTAGCATCACCCTGGTTCCCTCGCCAAAACCCAATAGGATTTTTCCATTAGCTTTTGAATTTATAAAGAAAATAAGCTCAACAAAACAAAAGTTTGACTCTTACACGTTTTGCAATCATTTAATACAACTTTTGGTGTCTAAATACAATAGCCAATAGTAAAAAGATAAAATTAGGCAGACTAACTACTCATCACTTTAATGTCGTCATCACCATTAAGCTTCTGACAACTCTTTAATTCGTTTTTATTTAAAAGTTTCCCTTAAATTGAGTTAGAGCAGTTTGCAAGAGTACTCTTCTAAACAAAATGAGTGGACAAGTGAGTAGATGAGTTTACTTATTAGGTCTTATGATACTGTATTTAATGTCCCTGACAACCTCTGTTGTCCCATTTAGCCACGTGTTAGCAACTGCCTTTTTTCTTGAAAATAAAAGCTTTAAAGGGGTCATATGTTGCGATTTCAAGTTTTCCTTTCTCTTTGGAGTGTCACAAGCTCTTGGTGCATAAAGATGATCTGTAAAGTTGCAAAGACTAAAGTCTCAAATCCAAAGAGATATTCTTTATAAAAGTTAAGAGTCAACCACGCCCCCCTAAAACGGCTCGTTCTAACACGCCCCCACATGTCTACGTCACTATGTGGAAATATTAGCATAATGCCGCCCAAATGTGCAAGCAAAGAAAGAAGGCGTGGTTTCAGGAACAGCAGTAGTGTTGGTGCAGCCATGTCAGGGAGACGCTGTGTGTTTCTGTGCAAAAGCAAAAGCACTTTATTTGGCCTTCCGGAAGTAGATGCAATTAGGAATCATTGGTTAAGATTTATTTACAACAGAACAGCACAACGCAGATGTTCGAATTTGTGCAATGCATTTTATGGACGACAGTTTTTTGAACCTAGAAGAGTACAAGGCTGGCTGTGCACAAAGGCTATTTCTA